CTCCCAATATAACCCGTACTTGTGTAACTTAATAGCCGATCTTCGCTCAATACAACGCCCCTGTACGACCCCCTTGTCACGTGTATTTGCTCCCCTGCACGCCGGGGTTGGTCGCCCAGTGCTGATGGCGCCCAAGATCCGGATGGCCGACGATGAACAACTCTGCTCTCCGCGCCGGCGTGTGGTCCACTGATCACACACTTACTTTATTACTGTCCGTTTACAACCCAAATACAGATAACGTCCTCTATGAAATGTACTCGAACCCGCCGCAGTTCAGTAAGTATCCAGTGTCGCCCACTTAGTCATTTGGGCTCGGCACGCACTCAGACGCCGCCTTACTATGCAGTCGTCAGCAGACTGCGTTCCCCCCTGTCTGTACTCCTCGCCGACTGTCCTTGGTCCTCGTCCACCGAGGCGTTACCCGTCCGTCCGTCTGTTTGTGCACTACCACTCGCTCCACTGAGCTCGAGCAGCACATCGCCCAATCTCAAAGATGCCGACACCACTAATCTCCGAGTGATGCCTACACCGCTAATCTTAAAGTTGAGACCGACACCGCTAATCTCAAAGATGCCGACACCACTAATATCCGAGTGATGCCTGCACTGCTAATCTTAAAGAATTGCCGTCTCTGGTCTTCTCGCGTCCGGGTGCTCGCCGTATCCTTCGAATTCGGATACGGGAGGCACGTACCTATCGTCCTTCAATACCGTCAGCAGCCAGATGCCACACTTCGTCAGTACCGTCCCGTTCCTGGCAGTTTCTGCGCTCTGCCTAGCCACCGTTTCGCCCTCCGCCCATCCTATCGTACTCGTCAAACGAGTCACCGTACTTGTCACGTCCGCTCCATCGTACACGTCCGCATCATCGTTCGCCGTGAACGAGCGGTCGTACTCGGTCGCGTCACTGAACTCGCCCGTATCACAATACATAACCGCCTTACCGTACTCGTCCGTATCATACTTGTTACAACACCGTAAAGATGGCTCAACGCGAAAAAGCTCAACCGAAGGATGCCGTCAAACAAGCGATTAAGCTGGCGCGCCAATCTCGAAGCCGAAAGAAGCAGAAGTAAGGGCAGAGATAGCTCTTCACGACAAGCCCAAAGCAAGGACCCGGAAGCGCTCACAGCAGCCTAGTGAGCTTATTGTTTTTTATCTGCTTCTGGTAACGTCCGTGTTACTGAATGCGAACATGGATCAGCTGAAACATGGGTGTTCTAACCATACAGACTCCTTATTGCTTTAGAGGGACCGACATTTTTTGTATGCGATGTGTGCAGACTTAATATCTGTACTGTTGTTTTAGCTGACCACATATTATTATCATACCTTTTCACCCACGTCATCAGCGAATATACGTCATCCGGTCCTAGCTTCATCACCAAACTCTGACACCACTTCTTCAAGTACTTTCCACTTAAGCTCGGCCAACTACCACTCTCACAATTATTTTACTTTTCATCGCGAGTATTCACTTGGCGGAAAAAGTTATGGATATCATGTGGCGTCGGGCTGCTTTCCAAAATTGTATTTGATACACTTCTATAATTTTGTTTCCCCCCCCCCGCCTTCCGTAGCCCATTTACCGCCTTCAACACCCTCATCGATGAAGATGCGCTTAGAGGCCGATCCCTTGACCGAAATAGCTTAATTTGGGATTTTGATGACGCCTAGCTGTCTTGTGCTGTTGCAAACATTTATCGGAATGTGCTACCTACGTGTATTTAATCCAACAAGCTACAACACTTCTTACCTCTTACGAGACTAAAATATGTATGTATGTGTTGTCAAAGCACTTTCGAAACCCCAATGAATGCGTTTACGAAATTAAAAGAAAGTGTGAGTCCGGAGCTCACCAAGGACTACTAATTACACGAATACGGCAAAGGTCAAATCAGGTGATGATTAATTCGGCTCGTGGGATATCAGGCATCCCAGTCGGTGCCGATTGGGTATAAACGCACCGTCTCGTTATCCCAATCGGTAAAAAAGAGTACCTATTTTTATTGTGCTGCATAACATAATTCACTGTTCGCACCAAGCCTGCAGCGATTCTGTTTGGTTGTATCTGTTTAAAAAAGTACAATTATATTTAACTGCCATATGGGAGAGTGCGGGCTCATGGAAAATAAATGATCTTTGCTATAGCCATATACGACGGCTCCTCCTCCAGTTCAGTGTTGAATTGCAAATTAAGGAAGAACCCATGTTTGTAGCATTTTTTTAATTGGTTGTTGCCGGTAACTGGAAGCAATCTCCATAATATTGCGGCTTGCTGCTGTTGGCATCCACCGTGCTGAAACAAGGACTGGTGTGCACGTTTGAATTGAAAACCGTTATGGTCCTCAACAAGGTTTATTTTTCTTGCTCCTGATCATTTTGAGATGACTATAGGAGGTGATGTTGGCATCACCTCCTAAAACCCATCATAAAGCGATGATGCCAACGTCACCCAATCTGACAAGTGACCAAGCCCCCCAATACGCCCGCCACGTTATCCTCACGACCGGATGTGGGAAGTTTGACATCACTGCCATAGAACGACAAATTTACATTTGAAATGAA